TAGTTGTATTCGTATGTGCAACGATCTAGAAGTTCTTGGAAAGATCTATGGGTGCTTTCGGGTTTGAGGCAGCGCATAATTTCTGATAGGGTAGAGTGGAATCTTTCTACCTGGCCATTAACTTGACTTGCATATGGGGGTGTCTTAAAAATTTGGATGCCTAGTTGGTCCTCGACCATAAACTGAATTGAAGCTGAATTTAAGGACTTTTCATTGTCGATTACTATAGTTTTGGGTACGCCAAAAGCGAAAAGCATTTGTCGTAGTGGTTCTCTGATGTCTTCTATTGCTTTTAATTTTATTAATCTTGCTTGTGCGTATTTGGAAAATTTATCTACACCTGTGAGTACAAGGTTTTTTTCTGTATTGTAAATGTCTATGTGTACGATTTCACCAGGATATTCGGGGATTGGGGTTTCTAGTAGCTGTGGTTTATTGGGATGACGATCATATTTATATTCCTTGCAAACTTTACACTGTTTAATTATGTTTTCTATCTTTGATTTCATTTTTGGAAAATAAAGTTTTTGTATAAGTTGCTTTCTATTTTCGTCCCTATTTCTATGGGCTCTTTTGTGTTCTTTAAGTATCTCTTCATTTTGTGCGTCTTGATCTATTATGTCTTCTACTTTAGTCTGGGTGTAGCGTATTTTGTAATTTGAGAAGTGCGATGGATATATTGTTTGAATTTTTCCCATTATGTCCTCAGTTGTACATATACTATTTATTACTGAAAGGTTAAGTAACGTTTTAAGAGGGAGGTTAAGTCTTCCGATGAGAAATCGGGTTTTGTTATAATGTGCCTATGGTATGTAGGGAAAGGTATTTTAAATTGGTAACTACTTTCTTGTCCTATGGATATCCAAATTTGGTTTTTGAAAACGTTTATGGGTACTTCAACAGCTGCTATTAAGTTGTGTGAAGAGCTATCATCTGAATGTGTAGCAACTGAAATGGAATTTACTTCGAATGGTCTGGAAAGTGTATCTGCAACAGCGTTGGCTTTACCGGGTTTATATATAATTTCGTATCTATATTCCTCAAGTATAGCTTTCCAACGTTTTAATTTTGA